GTGCAAAAATGTTCATCACCCTTAAACAACCTCTCAAGGGCTCTGTCTCAAATCGACTGCGCATAAACAGAACCAGAGATTTTAGTTCTCATGCTTCACCAATTTACTGTAAAAGTGCTGAAACACCAACCGGAAGTACTTCATTCAAACTATTTCCGTTCAACTTCCTGTTGCCAGCAGGCCGCAGCTGCTTAAAGGGGAACACCATTTTTTACATTGGGCCTTGATTTTACGTTATTACATCATGTTCTACTCACTCATATGACGTCATCCGCGTGCGCCGGCTACAATTCATTCATCCTGTCCGCTGAACTGCTGCTAGTTTTACTCACATGCCTGGAAGATGTCTAGTGCTGCTACCACAGATGAACTTGCTCTCAAAAATGAATTGAATGATTCAGATTAGCTAGAATGAATAGAAGGGGTAGAGCATAGCCGCCTGTGGCCCGGGCTGCCTGTCACAGCTCCAGTCCGGTGCGCGGATGACGTCATACACACTCCGCTTTGTTTAAAAAAATATATAAATATAAAAAATCTAACCGCGGATGTCTGGGGGACAGTGATTCGCCTATATGTCATGAATGCTGGCGTATCATAAATGATAAATTATGAACAGTTTAGTTTGTGCCTTCAACTCGTTGCCAATAGGAAGACATTACTTGGATATAACCTAACCGAATATCTTCAGAACGTCTCCAAAAGAACCAAAACTAATATTGGTGAGTAAAACATGATGTAATCACGTAAAATCAATGGCCCAATGTAAAAAAAAAAAAAAAAAAACGGTTTTCCCCTTTAAGACTAGACTTTAAAGCAAGAAAGAAAAACCAAACTTAAAAAGAGGGGATGAACTCAGGTTTCAGCTTTCAAAAACCTACAATTCAGTTAATCACTTATCATCGCAACCCCAACCCCTTTACAGGGGAACAGAGAACCTAACTAAAAAAGCCTAACGACCCCCATTCCAAAGGGGTGGACCCGTTCGTCCGTTTTAATTTGCAAGTTTTCTGAGCAAAAACAAGGCTTTGTTGGGCTACTGTATAAAGCTTAGAACAAACGCTATTTCTGACATTTTGATCTAAAAAAAGTTTCCTGGATGAGAAGCAAAATGTTTTCAAACTTAGAAATGTGGATTTTTATTTTTTTTACTTTTTTGGAATGACTATGACCTGGATGACTGAGAATATTCACCTGTATAGACCGAGTCAGACGCTGGACCGAGTCAGAATACCTTTCCTATGATTCAGAAGGAGCTTAATGTAATATTCTGTTGTTTTTTGTTCTTCCTGCGATTCAAACCAAACCAAGAACACAGTGCTTCCTGAACCCGCCTGCTGCAGCAGAGACAGAGGAGAGCTAATCCAGCTCTGGTGACCTAAATTAAACCACTGGAGTNGGAAATTCAATAAAGGAAGACGAACTAAAAATATTCCATTAAACAAATGAATATCCCTATGAACCAAATAAAAGTTAAAATATACATTTACACCCTAAGCCCGACGTCCCAGAATCTTCTAAAACGCTGGCTTATGCTGAAATTTGGCGTATGGCAAAATTCATAAAGAGTATGAAAATTGGCATAGGAGGCCAGAACCTATGTCCAACGACAGCCTAACTTCTGCACAACACACGCCTGTTGGCCGTGGTCGTGAACACAGTGAGGATCCATCACTGACAGTTTCCTCCTGTTAACACCTTTTATACCAAAACGCTGCCAATACCCCATTAAACAGTAGCTGTAAGTTAGAAACACGCTCAGCGCTCATCTGGAACTTATAAGATACGTTGATATGCGTTGGAGAGAAGTTCTTGACAAGTTACACATCAATTATGCACAAGTTACGCAGGGATTTTGGATAAGCTGGATGCCACGACTTCGTGTGCTGCACGATGACAGCCCACTCCTCCCCAAAGGGGATGGGTTAAACGCATAGAGGTAATTTATCCATTGTGATCAATAAAGTTCAATTTGTTTATTTTTATTATCCTTTATTTTTAATGCCATTGAAAATAAGCAAAGAATCTGGGTGCATTTTTAAACTTTCCATTATCCGCATGTTGGTTGTTATCTATTGTCACCTAGAGTCCAGTGCAAAAATGTTCATCACCCTTAAACAACCTCTCAAGGGCTCTGTCTCAAATCGACTGCGCATAAACAGAACCAGAGATTTTAGTTCTCATGCTTCACCAATTTACTGCAAAATTGCTGAAACACCAATATGCTGTTGATATCAAATATTGATTTTGTAACCGGAAGTACTTCATTCAAACTATTTCCGTTCAACTTCCTGTTGCCAGCAGGCTGCAGCTGCTTAAAGGGTAACACCATTTTTTACATTGGGCCTTGATTCGACGTTATTAAATCATGTTCTACTCACTCATATGAGTTTTGTGTCATTTGAAGCTGTTCAGAAGATATTCCGTCAGGTTATATCCAAGTAATGTCTTCCTATGGGCAACGAGTTGAAGGCACAAACTACACTGTTCATAATTTATTCTTTATGGTACGCCAGCATTCATAACATGTAGGCGAATCACTGTCCCCCAGACATCC